CCTCAGCGCGGCGCAGGGAGGAGGCGGGAGGCGCAGGGGCGTTGCAAGGCGTTTATTAGTGACAGGCCGCTGCGGGTCTGTTACCGCCCTGAGGGGCAGGAGGAGGAGGATGACTAGTTGCAGTATTTCTTGGTGTCTAGCCTCTTGTACTTGGGATTGTAGGGCGCCTTGGCGAAGCACATGGCAGCGGTGCGGTCGCAGTTGCAGATGAACATGTCGCACTCGTTGTTCTTGCCTGGAGGAGAGAGCAAGAGCAGTCAGACCCTGCAGCTCCTTCACCAGGCATGGCAGTGACTCAGGCAGGCATTTCTGCTGCCAGGGCGTAGCCGTTCCACTGCTGCCGTCATTTTGGGGGTGTATGCGCTTCTCCCTGCTAACCCTCTGGCCTCAAAGCTGCGTGCTCGGGCCCAGCAGTCTCCTTGCTCCTTCCTTCCCTGCAGTTCTGTTTGCCAGCGTACCTGCTATTTATCTCCATTCCAGAGCCCTGTAAGAGCTCCACCATTACATTCGAGATGTCCGGCAGAAGCTGTGTAACTCCCCCCAGTCAGCATGCTGCTCTCTTGAGTACTGCCATTAATGGGACTCCCAGAAAAGTACCACAGGGACGCAATCCCCTGGAGAAGGGACAGGCTTCCCTATGTACTGTGATACCATATATCTTCCATAAACTTTAAATTGTGTGGTACATGGAGAATATTCACTCTGGTGCCTATGTGAGGTGCCCCATTTCTAACAACCAGGCCCCCTGGCAGGGACTTGCACTGCGCCTCCCTGCCGCAGAAGCATGGAGTGTAATGCAGCCCAGTTCCTTCAGAAGAGAGACTGGAGTAACATTTGAAGTGGAGTGATGTGGAAGTGGACGTACTGTTACACGTAATCTGCCCACTGGAGCAGCTGAACTTGTACCCCTCTGTGTAGGGGTTGTCCAGAAGATATCTGCATGATGGTAGTTTCTTTGCCTGTGAGTAGCAGCCATCATGTACTTGACAGCACCTGGGAAGCAAGGAGGAAAAGGTCAGAAAATACCAGAAATGCAAACTCAGCTGACCTGTAAGACACGTAAATACACTAGTATTGCTTTGACAAGGCACTGAACAAAAAAAAGATAGCCAGTGGTAAGAGAGCAGACACGAAGGACCTCAGAGGGACCCGGTTCTGCTAGCTCATGGTCCAAGAGGTGTCTGGTACACATGTACTTACCGGAGCGTCTTCACAGAGTTATCTATTGGGCACAGGGAAAGCAAAAGACAGCATTTACCCTACGCTCCCCATCAGCGCCTGGTAGCTGAAGAGCTAACAGCTGACACAATCCACCACATCTTGGCTATCAGTCTTGTGTGATCTCTAAACTGCCCAAGCCACTTCTTAGCGTTTTGCAGCTCAGCCCTGCACGTGTTGATGGTCGTGCACTGGGCAGTGTGTGCTCAGAGCTGCGGCCACGCTGCTGGCACAGCACTGCTGCAGAAAAAAATGCTGGAATGAGTGCAGTCTAGCTGCCACAGAAGAGAAAAGAGAGTTGTTGGGATTATATTTTATCTTAGTAATAAGGCATCAAGGTGTGATACTACACAACCTTTTTTCCTTGAATCAGTCTTTGAGAGAAAGCTTCATTCACAGCAGCTGGAGAGTTTTGTGAACATCTATAGGCAGGGCCAGCTGAGATGAAGCTGGCATGCAGAACTATGAAAGCACAGGCAAGGAAAGAGGTTTGTAAAAGCAGAGTCTTGTAAACCTGTCAAGCTCATCCACTGGTGTCCCACTGCCTCCCAAGCCGCAGTAGCAGCCGTAGTCAGCAAATTCCAGCAGAGGATAGCTGTCCGGGATAGTGCATTTGATCATCCTGCGAAACTCCCACAAGGCCCAGGGTGAGACAGCTGTGCTGGCTGCGCCCACTGAGAAGAGATGCAAAGGTTAGAGTTAGGCATGGTGTTACCTGTCTAGAGGTGCTGGGGCAGGGTGAGTGCCACCTCGTACCAGAGAGCAGGAAAAGCAGGGCCAGGGACTTCATTCTCGGAGGAGTTGACAGACTGGTGCTCAAGAAAACGTGGCTTTTTATACAACAAGCTCACCTTGACATGGGTTTGAGATAAACAAGCCAGTATTTATGTTACTAAATGCAGACTTCTTCCATCGGAGGCTGTGGTCAGCAAGTTGTGACATGACAAGCTGAAGGCCAGTGCAGTTAAATCTGGAAGCCAGGAAGGCAAATATTTACTCTCTAGATATTTGCTATTAAATTATTTTTAATGCTTCTATTAGAAGCCAGCCTGAAAGATCTGGACATTTTTAAGTGCTCTCCACTAAAAAAATGGTGGCAGTGTGGTAGTTACATTGGAAACTGGTGGCACACTAATATCCATCCTACTAATACTGGCATCCTCCTTTTATGGTATCCCACTTATCATTAATCCTGTATCTCTCCATGGATTCTCCTGGCCTGATTCAGAGAATAAGGCACAGGTCATCCACTCACCCCAAATGACCATTTGGCATGAGCTGAACTGAAAAAAATTCAAGCTGTTTTTTACTTTGAAACCATACAGGAGGAATAGGTACTACTAGGCAAGAAACAGGAGCCAAGCAACCTGGAAAGCCTCTGTATCTGGCTTAAACAAGGAAGAGTGTCTGTTTTTACATGGCCTTGAGGGAGTTACACTGGAAATTAACTGGGCTTGGACGTTTCCACATACACAGCAGACTTCAGTAGCTCAGAGACAGCAGTTTCTCCTTCTCCGGCACCAAAGCAGAACCCAGTTAGGCCCTTTGGTTTTCTGTGGCAAGGCATGAGGCGAGTTGGGAGCCTTGAAATAAGATCAAAAAATGGGTAAGAAAAAGCTTCCTGGAGTCAGCCAGGGGTAAATCCAAAATACTGCACTCATATTCAGACCCCAGAGGCTCTAACACTGTCAGGGCTACAGGTTTGGCATTTTTACACACTCAAGGTATAGATCCTAGACTGCTCAGCTGATAGAGTCTGCATTTATTTCTAAAGCACCAAGCAAGCCTTCAGTTTTTAAGAGCAGACAAAGAGGCAAAGCCCACCTTTCCGCAACAGCCTAATATACTAGAGTGCTTATTCAGGAAGCTTGGGGTTCAGTGCCCTTCAGTAGGTTCAAATGCATGTTTCTGTAAGGGACGATGAGGACATCTTCCCCCTCATAGTGGCTGAAACTATGCCAGGGTGCCCATAGTATCCATAGGATGTATATCCATATCCATAGGACATCTCGTTAAAGGTAGACATGCTGATGAACAACCAGAACCATTCCGACTTTTCTGATCTCTCACAAGCTCTCCGATTCTCTGGGATTCCCCGCTCACAGGTTAGCTAAAGCCAAACTCTTGAATCGAGTTACAGATTCAAGATTCTTGTGTCCCAATAGTGAGAACATTGAAGGAACATTAAAGGCTGATGTAAAGGACAGTCAGTTAGTTCAGAAACAAGGATTTAATCTTTTGCACACAGATCAATCAGCTGACTTTCCCTTCAATATCCATTTAAGTGTTTTCTTTCTCCTTTGCCACTTTGGCCACCTTTACTCTTTTTTTTAATTATTTCTCTGTTCTCTTACCTGTGAACCTTAAGACTCTGTGGTTCCTTCTTCCTCATTTCTCAATGTCTGATGTTGCCAAGAAAACTTCCAATAAACTGGCTTTTTTAAGTCACAAATCAAAAATACTGTCATATCTTGGATTTCACACATTTTAACTCAACAAGAGGATCACCAAATGTGGGAAAGCGAGCATGTGAGCATTACAAGAGTGCCTCATGAGAAAAATCCCAGCAGGGTAAAGATTTTTCCACCAATGCTATTTTTGGTTTCCCCCAACCTGTGCTGCATACAAAGCCACTGGTCCCCCGTATGCTTGTGAGGACATCCTGACTTGCAGCTGGTTCCTAAACTTATAGGCTTGAGCCTTAGGTTATTTTTAAGAATTCTCTATAATTAAGAGCTGCTGCACAGGGCTCCCCACCCTATTTTACACCGTTATAATTTACCTTTCTCTTGTGGTGTTGTCTGTTAAGGACCTTTCTTCCCTTCCAATCTCTACATTTTACTTTCTTAGATCTCACCTCCTTGGTCCACCATAGTCATTGAATCCAGAGCATCTGAGCCAAACTCCTAAGCACCACACTATCTCCTCCTTTCTTGAGCCTACAAATATCTATACAAAACCTCTGTAACGTAGAGAAGAGACACGATCTCTACTAAAACCAGATCTGCCTCACATTATAAACTGGGCCGCTGCCAAGAGCTGGGAGCAGGACACAGAGTCAGAGCCCTGCCTGGGACTTTTATCCTAATGGCAGGATGTGACTCCTGCCAGGTGCAAGTTCACCTGAAATCTCCATTTGAAAATCTCCCACCCCCAAATAATGACAGAGAAGGACAGTTTTCAAATAATTTATTAGGAATTTAAAACTGAAATCTGGAAAAAGGGTTACAGGTGTGGAGAGAACAAACATCGGAGTGTAATAACTTACTGGCTTAAAAACACAGCTTTATTTCTTTTAAAAAAAATGCCCACCCTGAAACCGGAGCCCCAGCCTCCAGGCAGTGGCAGCACTGGCCAGAGAGTGAATCGCAGCCCAGCAGCAGCACAGCTGGCCTTGGATGTCTGGAGGGGGCACGGAAGCAGTTCAGCGCATATACCAAGAGGGAGGAAAGCGCTGTCCGCAGACCCAAACTTGAAGTATATAGAATAAAAATAAACCCAATAAAATGCAGCTTTTCTTTAATTAGGAAATATTTAAAAAAACAGACATACAGACTCTTGTCTCAGTAACAAAAATTATTGCTTTGTGTTTTCAGTACTAATCTGTTAAGTACCCTCTTACCTAAACAGAACTCTCCAAACGCATCGCCCAGGTCAGGACAAGCTCCGGCAGACGGGGGAGGGACGGAAGAGAAGGGCCCTGTGGGCATCGTGGCCCTCCCAGTCCTTTTCTAAATGCCCCCCTCCCTTACAGGGGCTCAGTTTGGGGGAAGAGAGGGAATGATTTTTAAAACTTAAGATGAAGCTGTTATTTCCCTGGGAAAAGAGTTTGGCTGCATCTTAATAAAAGGCTTAATCACCCCCCTTAACAAGGTCTTTGGTTCACTGAAATCCAGACCCAAACCTGCCCCACGTACTCCTGCTGGAGGCTTCCCCTGGCAGAGTGCCTGTTAGCAGGGCCCTGGACCACGCCAGGGGAAGCCCCGGCAGGTTCTGGAGAAGGGACCAGAGCACCCCGCACAGGACAACAGACAAATTCCCACAGTCTTCAGAACACAGAGTAAAGCAAACGGGAAGCTGCAATTCTATAATTCATATAATCCCTGAGAAGCCCTTAACCCGCCCCCAAATCACCACCCTAATGCTTTTCTCCCCCGTTAATGACTCCCCAACCCAGCGCCCTGCCCTTCAGAGAACGACCACCCAAATCTCCCCCTGGCCCTGGCCGACACCCCTTCCGACACCCTCGCCTCCGGAGGAGGATCCCCTTTCCCAGGAAATCTTGACACAAACGATAGTGTTTGGAGAGTGAATTCCTTTCAAAGTAACCAAGACAAGCAATGGCGGTAAAGCCCTTTACCTAAAGCCAAACCGGAGGCTGGCACTACGGAGCCCAGTGATGGAGTCTGTACATCGAGCGATTGGAAGCAGCTTTAACCCGCTCAGCAAAACAGCCGATGGCCGGTACGTTTCACCCCCGCCCCCACCCCCCCTTTCATCTCATCAGAGGTCTTAAAATCTTACAGTAAAAGGTGTACAAAAAAAGAACGGAGTCCTGTCAGGATTCTGCTGGAGAGTATTGCTCACACTGCGGCGCCAAGTCCAGGACCTGGAGCTGCTCCTTGGAGCCAGGCTGCGGGCGGCAGCCAGGTTCAGCTCGCGATATTTACATATTATACAGGAGGAAAAAGAAAACCCCACGTAAAACTAAACCTAGGAAAAAAAAAATCTTTCAGCTGTAAGGATAGTGTTTTTCACTTAGCAAAATATACATTTGTTTTGTTCCATAGCGATGTCCAACGTTTTCGGATCCTTGGAGTTTCACGCTTTTCAAAGCCTCACATTTACAAAACAGAAACAATTAAAAACAGTTTCTTTAAAAAAAATAGAAATACATCAGTTCCTCTCAGCCTTTGCTCTCTGTGTGTCTCTTTCTTCCCTTCAGAACTGCATTCTTGTTACATACCGTGCTTTAAAAACACTGACGACAACAACAACAGAGTTGAAAATATTCAAAACAGTTTCAAAGCCAAATAAAAATACTCCTCAATAAAAACTACCTAACACAATCACAAAGCCAATTCATAAAATATGTCTACTAGCTCGGGAAAGAGCAAACAACAAAAAGAAGGGGTAGCCCCAAAAAAAGATAAAAAAATAAAATAAAAAAATAAAACTAACAGCTAATAAAATAAATAAAAGAAGAATCGGTGGGCTGGGGGCAGGGAGGGGGGAAGCGTAAACCGTCGGTGGTTAGTAAGAAAGCGAGATGATCTCCTTGGGTTCAGTCCAGTGTGGTCTGGTCAAAGGGAGAGATCAGGGCAGGGCGGCAGGAGCCTGGCAGCCAGCCGGCAGTGTGCAGTTTGATTCAAGAAAAAGGTAACCTTGGCTCATCCCCCGAGGCTCACCAGATCCTCCAGCCGCTGTCCTCGGTTAGGTCACTGGGGAATCTGTGGGGCACAGCAGGGGAGGGAAGGGACAGGATCTAGAACAACCAACAGCTTCTCTCTTGGGGTTTTCTTCCGGTGTGATCTGACAGAAATACTCGATACCCGAACTTGCCCCAACACAGACTTGCTCTGCATCTCGCTGGCACAGCGACGGGGCACGGCAGAGATGCTTCCGTCTTTAATGGCAACGTGCAGGCCTGGGAAACAAGGCTCCACATGCCGTGCAGGCTGCCTGCCTGGACCTGTGGCACTCCTGGCCCCCGGGAGGCCTGTGACATAGCGGGGTCCAGCCGTTTCTCCAGCACTCAGCTCGGTGCAGCCCGACCAGGCTGCCATGGCTCCTGTCTGGACACCCTTCCCTGCAAGTTTTTGCCCTCCTTTTTGAAAAGCTGGGGGTTTTTTAATTTTAAGCCAGCTAACTTCAGCCATGTTTGCAAAGCAAAAAGAGACCATCCACCAGTTCCCTCTCAGGCTCAACCAAGGACCAGAAGCAGAACTGATCAGACTCAGATTTTCCTTCTGCCCTTCTCCCAGGCAGGAGAGGAAAAACCTCACTCCCCAGAGACAGCGGTCTCAGCAGCAGTGAGAACAACCAGTTACATGGAGGAGGCATCCCCAGCCACACAGGTGAGCCAAGCTTGTCTCTCAGGATCACCACTGGGTTGTGATTCTGGCCAACCCTGCAGACCTTTCCTCTTTCTGTCAGTGCTCCCATTTCCTTCCCCTTCGCACCCAGACACTAAGCGATCTCTCCACAGCACTCCCAGCCTGGGGAGCGTAAGGTAGAAACCCAACCTGCCAAGCCTCTGGTGCAGAAGAGAGCCCCAGGCTGGCTGCAGCGCTCCTCCCGCAGGCTGGGTCAGGCCGGCGAGCTTCACAGTGGCATCCACAGCTCCTGCTGAGAGCCCAAGCACAGGGGCCGGCTCAGAACTTCACTCCTCTCATTACCCGTTCCTGTTCGAAGCTCTCTTACCTCCTGCCTCCTTGGTCCCCAGCTTCAGTGATACCCATTGGTAAAAGCTGTTGCAATCAAGGGACCCTGTGAAGAAAGAGTTAAAACCCCACTCTTAAGCAAACAAAAGAAAAGTGAAGGAGAATTACTACCACAACAAATTCAGTCTTGGCCCAGATGCTGGGAAAGCTGGCTTCAGTTGGAGGAGGCAGGTCTAAAGAGCACATCACCTTGCAGCACACTGCATCAGGGCCTCTTGGAAAGTCTGGGCCAGATCAGGGAAAAGTCCGGAGACCAGGACCTTGAGTGGTGGCCAGGGAGAGCCAGCGGAGCCCAGGGATGCGGGCTCCAAGTGAACTGCTGCATCCTGCACCATCCGTCTGTGGCCTGGGGCTCAGCGGTGGCACGGCAGATGCTGCAGCGGGTGCTATTTCTTAACCAGAAAGCAGGCTGTGGGCCGAAAGGGGACCGCCCACTGCTGCTCACCTCCATCACCACGTGGAGATGCAGCCCCTTCCCCTGGCCGTGCCACTCTCCATCTTCCTCCCCCTGCGCAGAGCCCAACAGGGAACACTCACCCCTAGGCTGTGGCCGAAGCCGGTGCTCGGGGCTGGACTGGCAGCGCTGATGTAACTGCTGACCCCTGAGTCCTGGTTGGCGGCTCCATAAAGCTCTGCCATCGGCCCAGGGCTGGTGGTGCCCAGAAATCCACCGGTACGACTGGGGGTGGAACCTACGGGAGGCAGCAAAACTACGTAGTGAAGATCCCAAAAATGCAACCCCGTCCCACCCTCCTCCCACAGCCCATGGCAAACCTCCGTGACAGGACACCGCGCCGGGGAGGAAAGTGGCAGTTACCCGTCCCT